AGCCACCATCTTCGTTGCTGCTGTACCCTATTTCCATCCTACCAGCTAGCCCCCGCACTAGTAGGACGCTTGATATCCCACCATCTATTTCTCCCACTCACCCAAAAGACTCAAACACCCCCAATCCGTCCCCTGTACCCACTCCGGCACTGCAGCAGAGCCACCATCTCCACTCCTGCTGTACCCTATTCCCGTCCTACCAGCTAGCTCCCTTACTAGTAGGACCCGTAATATCCCACCTTCTCCTTCTCCAACTCACCTTGGTCTCATGAGAAAATGTCTGAGCAGTACGAAAAACATGGGAATAGACCTCATAGGTCCTACAATTGCTCAAAAACCCTTGAAATCCCTGACAAACCTTTCCGAAGCACTCCAACATTGTCGTACTCCCTGCCGAGCTCTTCCAGGTCTCACACCACCACATCCTGCTGGGTTACAGGGCAACACAACTCACCCCAGCTCCGACCAGCGTCGTCCCAGCAGCAACCCTTAGTTGTCCCATGGGATGCCCACCCCAAAGCATCCCCAGATCTCTCTACCAGGCCTCATGCTCCTGCATCAACAGGTTACAAGGCAACACCCCAGCACCGGCCAGCATCGTTCTGGCATCGAACAGCCGCAGGTCACTGAGTAAAAAAGCATTGAAACCACCTAAGAAGAGTTGCTAGGATCCCAGAGTCCAAAAACATTTTTAAAACCCAATCAGCCATTTTTTTTTTTTTTGATGAAACAGACTTCAACTATTCGTCTTTCTTCGACGAGCCGACCTCCTCCACCACATAGTTCGAAGAAGAAAAATAGAAGTAGTCCGCCAAAAAAACTTTTGAGTAAATTTTACGAGCCAGCAACAATCAAGAGAACGAACTTCCCTTCAACCCTCTACTGTTCTTCATCCCTCGATGAGCCGACCTCCTCCACCACATAGTTCGCGGGATGAGAATAGCAGCCACAACAACACACCTTCCTCGACACATTCGCAAGAGGAGAAATGATAGAAATCAGGTGTACACCCTCACCCTAATAAGTGCAGCACCACACCTCCTCGAAACACCTGGCTCATAAAACGTAGGCAAGCAACTCAGTAATCAAAGGTTATGAAAACCAAACAGTCATATAAGGCATATTCATCCCACAAGAAAAGAGGATTGAAGTGAACTTCTTCTCTCCCCATGGAAATTCCTACGCCTATTCCCGTCTTCGTTGAAGGTAAAGGCTCACAAGAACCGAGCGGCTTACTCCCCCCCCCCACCACAAAACGACCTCCTGCCCTTTCACTGCCTCCGCTGGAAGGTGCCCCCTCACCTTCCAGCCGCAGTACAGAGCAGCCCCCTAAATCCCTCCTGCTCCCTCAACAGCATACAATACCTCCAAGAGTTTGCCCCCGCAGAGCCGAAGATCACCCTTCCCTCATGTCCCACCCCCTCCAAGTGAAACACCTCGCAAACCTCTCACCTTGCTGAAGCCAGCATCGACCCTTTGTCCTCTCTCCCAACCGCCTTAGCTGATCCAACCCAAATCAGCATGGCCCAAAAGAGAACAAACCCACAAACCACCCCTACCCTCTCAAGGATCACACCTCCCACCTTGTATAACCCTCGCAGGGTGGGGCTCAACCCTGAAGGAGCGAGTTCAATCAGCACCTATGAGCCCAAATCCTACAGTATCGCAGCCTGAGACTTCATTATGACCTACTTTTTGAAGATCCCCCAAACAGATAAACTCTAATATCGAATCAGATATCGAATTCAAGATAATAGGGAAACACGACAAATTAAGAATTTCACTCTCAAGCGAGTCGAAACATTAAAAAAAAAACACAGCAAATTCACGAGACCATTGGAAATCTAAAAGGTTAGAAATCATTATTCGAGATCAGAGACAAAGCTTTGATTTACGATGGTCAATATGAAAAGAACAAATCGAGAATTATTCGAAAAATTTTGAGAGCATTCCTAAGCCCACTGTCTGGAATCAGGTACGTGGATTATTCTTCACGAGTTCATTGAGAATCTAAAAAAATAGAAAACATTATTCGAGATCAGAGACGAAACTCTGTTTTACGATCATCAACATGAAAAAATCAAATCAAGAATTATTCGGAAAATTTTGAAATCATTCATGAGCCCGTTGTCTTGAATCAAATTCAAATTGAAAACCTAAAGCTACCTGTCATGAGATTAGAATCAAAACTCAAATTTACAATCATCTGAAAATCAAAATCGAGTTACTATCTTGAAGCTATCTCCCTAAAAAACGAGATCAAAACGAAAAAAAAGAGGTCAATCAAGCCACGAAGAGCATCAAGCATCCCACAAAACTATGGATCGCAGCATATAAACCGACCTCTCATCATGATGTGTTTGTCTCCCCCAAACCTTCACCCCCTCCGTTATTGACCTGAAGGCAACTCAGCCATCACGTGGCCACTCTCTCGGCCATCGAAAAAAGACTGAACAATAAGGACTACGAACCGTGGTTTCACTTTACCCCTCACTTGCTACGTAGCAAGACAAAAACACCGAACCTGTCGGTGACCCCTCACTGGTAGTCCGGGGGGGAACAGACCTTCCATGCCCTTCGTTGCCCTTCATCACCTGATTCTTTCGTTGGACACGTGACACCCTGCAATTCGTAGCTCTGATGATGATGTTGGCAAACCATACCCTTCGCAGCCCTTCACAAGCAGCCTCTTCGTATCAACCTCATCCTCTACGCACTATGCATCACCCTCCTCACCATCCTTCCCATCATGAACCATTCACCCAAAACCTCTCAACCGCCCCCTCACACCACCCCGAATCCACTCCCCCCGGCATCGCGCTGCTCCGCCGCTTGTTGCAGTCCAGCGCCGCTCGGTCCGACTTTGCGCCGCTCCGCCGCTCAGTGCCGCTCGGCCTGACTGCGCGGGCGGGGCGCAGCGCTCCTGGCCGCGCTGCGCCCGAGTACACCGCCACTTGGAGAATTTTTATATTTTTTTTATTTTTTTTTGCAAAACATTTGGACCATTTCTTGATTTATGCGTGTCATCCTTGCGCAGGGGCCATGCTAAGCTTCTCTGTATCGTTCCAATTTTAACTGATGTCCCGAAGGACCACTTGGAGATTTTCACCTTGACATGTTTAGGTTTTGTTTTGGGAGGGAGGTCTCTCTTTTATTCTAGTCTACTCTCCTTCGACTTACCTCTATTCCCTCACCTCTACTTTTCCTTTCCTTCCCTATTTTTCTCCTACTGACATGTTTCCCTTCTTCCACATCTTTGTTTGTTCGCTGCTATGTTTTGTTGGATCTGACCGACTATGGCTTGTATAACAACTCGTTGGCTCGCGACACCGCTAATTGGTCACTGACGCTCCTGCCTGGTCTAGGCTTGCTCGCTGGCCTATGGTGCTATGCGCTGGCACGCGATGCCGCTGCCTGCCTCACGCTGCTTTGTGCTTGCTCGCAAAGATGTGTGATGCAAGATCGATGGTGTTGGATGCTGGCTAGTAGTACAGTAAGTTGGCTTGAGTGGCTACGTGTAGGCTTGGGGGGTTGCTAGATGGCTAATGGGCCTATGTGCTGGCAAGTGGACTTGCACGCTGAGTCGCAGGGTCTGCACTGGCATGCGGAGCTGCGAGGATGGGGTAAGGGGTTGGGATCAAAGGAGGAACAGGGAAGGGGAGGGGAATAAGGGAGCGATTCATGGGGAAAAAGAAGCATGAGTGATTAGAGATAGACGGGGAGGGGGAGGGGGAGGGGGAAAGGTGGGGGGAGGAGGRGGGGGGGGGGGACGTCTCTAAAACTTCTTGCCAAGTTCTTGGTTTAGTCTGTGTTCTAATCATCAACAGTCTCATACACTTATTACACTTCGCTTTCTAGTATTAATTTGCTTTGGACAATGGAAATCTGCTCAACGTTTTCAATGGATTATTAATCTAACTTCCTTTTGGATTATCAGCTCAATTATCATCTCCAACTACTAACATAACCAAAATCCTGACTACATTCTTAGTCATAACCCGGATTCTCTCATCTAAGTAACCTGAGTGGTATTTTCTGGTACCCCAACATCCAATCAATTATTTCCTATTATTCCTAATCATTTCCTAATTAAATTAACTTTTGATTTCTTCATTGTGATTATCAGCCGTTCAAGACTGCTCTATTTCAAGAAATATTTTCATACTGGTTTTCTTAATTTTTTAAATTTTTTAATTCGCTAAATGAGGCTGGATACATTTCTCCAGCGCACAACTTTCCTACTTCTGATCTCCAAGTCTAATTTCTATTAGTCAAAATGTGCACTCAAAATTCCTGAGATATTTTTCGCATCCCTCCTCGTGCGATGTTGTAATTATTTTGCGTGAGGTACAATGATTCAGGAAGGGTGTTACATGCCCAGTCGCGCGATATACATAATAACCAAGGATCCGCAATGGGATGAAAAGGACTGAATGGACAATGTAGTGCAAGTAGAATCTCAACAACCAATGTGATGCATACAAAATGGTGCTAAATAGCGCATGGAAGATTTAGATACAAATCCTGACCTGACCGGGACTGACCCCTTTCACGTTGTACAAGATAGCGAAGCAGAATGCTAGAATACTCATGACTAGCCCAATCAATGTTTCAACGCAGACCAAACATACATCATGCTCATCACAAGGTGTGAAGGAGCCTGGCGCTATACACAGGAAGGAAGCGCCAGGTCCAGACATACACAGACGAAGAGGAGGGAATCAGACGAAGAAGAGGGGGAGAGATGGGAATGTCGTCAACACCAAGTCTTTGTCACAAGTCCCAAATAATCCCTCGTCGAAATGTCCGAAGCCCAAAAGTCGAGTCTGGATCCAATGCCACCAAGCTCTCTCTCTCTCTTTCTCTCGTAGTCTGCTGATGCAGTGAAGTCAGATAATGAGAGGGTGAGAGGGAGATGGTGGACTGAGAAGAGGAAGTAGAAGAACTCTCTCTCTCTCACGAGCCAGGTACTAACCTGTGAAGTTGGCGCTGTGATGCAGGTACCTCGAAGATGAAGCTGGAGCAACGGCGCAGCAGGTAAGTATCCCTGGCCTCCGCCCCATCTGTCTCTCTCTAGTACTATCCTAGCTATGGATCCCAGCGCTGAAGACTACAGCTACCTACTGGCGCCCAGCGCTGAAGACTAATGCTAACGATACTACTACTCCTGCAGCGCTCCCTCCAGAATGCTGCTGCCGCATCCTGAAGACTACTTACTGCCTCCTGCCTACCCGTGAAGTGCATGGGAAGTCCCTATGTACTATCTCGGCCTGCCTCCTGACTGCCTCCGACTGCCTGCAGACTGCAGTTGCAGGGCGGGCAGTCCAGGAGGCTGCTCTTGCCAATGCCGAACTGAGCCAGGGGCTGGCGCTGCAGCTGTCGTGGGAACAGGCCAAAAGTAGCATGTTCCTAAAACCCTGGTTCGGTGCCTGAGTTTCAGGGCAGGCCGGTCTAATGACAGACCGGAAATGACCCTTCATTTCAGGCTAAAAAGGCTACTGCCATTTTTAGTCTGAAATGACACAGGGTCTGTAGGCCCCTGTTTTTTCAGGCTTTCGAGCTGAATGGTCACGGGGCCTGTAGGCCCTGGTTTTCAGGCTTTCAGCCTGAATTTCAGGCTTTCAGCCTGAGGGACGCAAGGCCTGGAAAATGGCCCTCGTGTGCAGGTGCAGCATGTAACAAAAGGGGAGAGCTCTGCTCTGCAGGGGCTTCACAAGGTGGATAGTGAATGCCCTGGAGGGAGTACGGGCAGATTGTGAGGGATAGTGTTGTCTGTTCCTAGCTGGGGCCGACAAGGATTGCCTACATTTGGGACACCTTCTTCGGTGGAGGCAGCGACAGACAGGGGGGGGAGGTGGAGAGAAGGGGGGGGGGTCTGTGGCACATGCGGAGAGAGAGAGAGAGAGAGAGAGAGAGAGAGAGAGAGAGAGAGAGAGAGAGAGAGAGAGAGAGAGAGAGAGAGAGAGATGGACACACACGAGAAGCAGCAGCTGATCCGACCGAATGAATGAACGAACAGCCAAGAATGAACTGAACCAAAACTGCCGACCTGGGCCTAGGCCAAAGTTATATGTCAGCCTAGGTCCAGGTCCGGGATAACCCGGTACTGGACCAGGGTCAGGCCGACGGCCTGAGACTGGTCCGGTCTCACTGCCGGGCCGCGGGGGTACCGCTACAGTTTCTCTGAGCTTACTAACCAAGAGTGCTACATCAAACTTCCTGTTCTTTGTGCGCTCCTCGGTGACATCTGGTTTCATCTATGTTATGAGGTACAGGATTCCAGGAGATGGTAGAACCCAGGCTGGCGTCAGGGGAGTTATCAGGTTGTGTGCCCCTGGTATGCTGATGGCAGAACGATGCTGGCCAATGCTGGGCCGCCGCCCTGTCCCCTGCAATAGAAGAAGCACTAGGCCTTGTAGAGAGAACTGGGGGATGTCGAGGGAGGAAGGCAATCCAGTGGTGTACTGGGGGGAGCCGCCAGGACAGCCTAAGGGTCAAGGTATAGTCTAGGTGGCGAGAACATGATGTCTATGGCTGATATGGCTAGGATGGCATTGTCTCTGGGATTTTGTGCCTGTTACAGGAATGCCTATGAGTTGCTTAGGGATTGGGAAATCCGGATTGCTGTTGTAGTATTGTTTTCCATAGTTTTAATCTCTATCATCTTCATTAGCATCATTATCATCAGCATTACCATTCACCGATTTAAAAAAAAAAAAAGAGAGGGATCATCAGATTAATCACCCATTCAAAAAAAACCTGCAAATGGCAGGAGTGTGAGGCCTTGTAGAGAGATCTGGGGATTTGCTGACGAAGGCAGGCAATCCAGTGGCAAACTGGGGGGGGGTGCCTTGACAACCTATGGGTCCCGGGACAGTCTAGGTGGCGAGAACAAGTCAGCTATGCTTGACGTTGGCTAGGATGGCATTGTCTCTGAGATGTAATGTCCTGGCACAAGGAGGGCTAGGAGTAGTTCTAGGATTAGGAGGCCAGATTTGCTTATACAGCATAGTCTTCTATATGTTTTACATACTAATCACCATTATCATTACATCATCATCATCATTAGTATCGTTATCTCTCACAGTTTTCATAGAATCAGCAGAAGTTCATCATCGTCATCATCATCATCATCATCATCATCATCATCATCATAATAATGTGAGGGAAGCTGAGCCCGATTCTCAGCATGTTAGGTTCGGTCACTGGGAATGAACTGTGAGGACTTCGACCTCAATCTTCTTACTGGTAATGTCAGCCTTGAGCACTGGGCCCGTCTATTTAAAAAAAAAAAAAAAAAGAAGAAGAAGAAGATAGGAATTTCCAAATTTAAAATCAGGAATACACTATTTAGAAATTGCAAATTGAGACGTCCTACCTGGCCAGAAAGCTGGGTTGTATACATTGCCCGAACCGCAATCGCAAACTGTATCTTGGGCCATAGTGCAATTATAACTCGTTTTTGTGACTCCTGTGTAGTTTCCCGTTGTTTTTAAACCACCAGTACTTGGCCCAGCTATTGGCCGCGGAAAAAAATAGAGTAGATACGTTTCTAGTTGGATGAATTTGGGCACTCCTGTAGTGGCCCGTATGTTTCTTAAAATCGTGGCTTGTTTACGGGCACGACTCTAGGAAGTACTGGTTGTTTAAATGAATGCCCCTTCCATTCTGGGGACCCTGTGGGGAGTAGCAGTCTGGCTGGCCACCACTGGCAGAAGGAAAGCACAAACATAGGGCCTTGCTCTCCAGTACACCACTCTGCAAAATTCAGTGTATCTGGGTGCGAAAAACATCCAGATACATGCAGAACGTAAGGTCTGGAGACTGCAGGAATGCATCAGGACCACGTGGGAATCCAGTGCATAAATTTAGAATGTTGTGGGGTGGTGTGAGGCCAATATTATACACAAACATACTCACGCCTCTCCCCGTTAGTGCAGTGAAAACCACAGCCACTGCTCACCAGGGACAGCTTTTCTGTACCAGTTCAATGATCAGATTACTACTTCGGGGCGGCAGAGCTCTGGAAATGATTACAATCATGTTCCTCTAGGTCTCATACATTCAGGAAAGTTTTAGTGTTTGTATAGCAGCAGTAGGTTCCGGTCATTGATAACTTCCAACAAACAAAGGAAATCAATTTTGTAAAAAACCATCCTGATGGACGGAGACAACTGACGTTCAAAGGGGGAGGGGACAGGAGGGCAGGCACAACCACCCATCGAAGAATTTTGGTCCTCATGCTACCGGCTGACCCCTGGCCAGTATCGCCCACCTGCAGGTCGGTTGCACCTCCACATGTCCCTCATCGGATGCTTGCGCTCGGGCTGGCTGCTACGGGGTTCCCCGTAATCTAAAATGATAAATAAAAAGGGCCCGGACGGCCATCCTGTCCAGATTTGACAGGCACTTGGATTTGTTGGGCTTAAACCACCACTACCTTTCCAAGCTGTAGTCCCATTTGGGAAAATGACCTCATCCGAAAAGCTCGGGAGTCCGGCGTAGGGTCGGACACCTACTGGGTGCGGACAGGGCAAGATGTCAGGAGAGAGCCCCGGCCAGGGAAATTCAATGAGACCATATTGCACTGCATCACTTTGCATCACATTCCGTTTCACAGCAGATCCTCAGGCTTCACGAGTGTGTGAATGCGTGTTGCAGGGTTTTACAGAGGGTATAGGGTTTAAAGGGTTAGTAGGGACAGTCATAGCAATGACAAACAAGTGGACTGTAGACACCTGGAAGCAGACTGGGTCTAGCAGGTGAATGAGAGACTTCAGGGCGAGAAAGAGTAACAGGTAACTTCCGGGAGTGGGCAGGGCAGGACAATAGGAGTGTAGATGATAAGAGTGAGCCCCGGCCAGGGAACGGGTCTATATTGCATGTGTGATGCACATAATGTATGGCTCTAGAGAGGGTATAGGGTTTAAAGGGTTTGAAGGGACAGTCATAGCAATAGCAAACAAGGGGGCTGCTGACCAGACCTGGGCTAATAAGACACGGTGCTCCCGAAAAAGGGATGGGTAATACTAGCACCTTTATGGGACAACAGAGCCCCGGGCTGAGTCAGAAACGATCATTACCCCGGGAAACAACAAACAGCAAACTCTGTTACCAGATGTATCAATGGGACACTGGACCTGCTTTCCAGCAGGTGCTGCTCCCCACCAATAGATGGAGCAGCCCGACAGATAAGCCCTCAATTCTGGCGGTTCTCTTATCACCACCAGGATAGAGGACTTACGCAAGGGCTGTTTTCCAGAAAAAAAAAAAAA